TGCCAAATGTTCACAGGGGATGGAAAGGAAGCCACGCACTTGTGCAGTCACTAGGTAAGCGATGACTCAAGCCAGAGTCATATCAGTGTGCACTGGCGGTGGCGAAAAGCAGACTGCAAGCGACTGGGGAGAAAATGGGAGGTGAAATGAAAGGCAGAAAATAGTACTGCTTTTAAAAGTTTGGAAGTAAAGAAAAAAAGACTGGGCTGTAAGTGTGAACATAATGGCAAGAGTTAGAACCACTTTTAAGGGGCACCTGGGTGGCGCAGTCAATTGAGTGTCCAACTCTGGGTTTTAGCTCAGGTCAGATCAGGATCTCAGGGTTGTGAGATGGGAGCCCCATGTGGGGCTCCACGCTCGGCGGGGAGTCTGCCTGAGATTCTCTCTCTCCCTTTTCCTCTGCCCCTCCCCCTGCCATGCTCATGCACCCTCTAAAATAAATAAGTAAAATCTTAAAAAAAAAAAAAGGACCGCTTTTTTTTTTTTTAAGATTTTATTTATTTATTTGAGAGAGAGAATGAGACAGAGAGCATGAGAGAGGGGAGGGTCAGAGGGAGAAGCAGGCTCCCTGCTGAGCAGGGAGCCCGATGCGGGACTCGATCCCGGGACTCCAGGATCATGACCTGAGCCGAAGGCAGCCGCTTAACCGACTGAGCCCCACCAGGCGCCCCAAAAAAGGACCGCTTTTAAGAGAATGAGAAGGATTTGCCAACCCACAGAAGAGCTGAAGTGGCAATCACACATTGCAGCCACCAGCAGGGATGCACACAGACTTTGGGAGGGACAGTGACAGTCTGAATGGAGAAAGGAGACCGAAAACACCCAAAGCAGATGCATAAACAAAATGTGGTGCCTGCATCCAATAAATACCATTCAGCCCTGACTCCTGCTACAACACGATGAACCCTGAAAACAAGATGCTGAGTGAAAGAAGCCAGTCACAAGAGGTCATCACAAGTGATGGGAAGTGACTGCTTCAACAGATAGGGGGTCTCCTTTTGGGGTGATGAAAACGTTCTGGAACTAGACAGAGGTGACGACCGCACTGCATGATGAATGTACCAAATGCCATTATACACATACACATATACATTATAAATGGCTAAAACAGTAAAGTTCATTACGTGTGTTTACACACACACACACACACACACACACACACCCTGAAGCAGCATGAAACCAGTCAGGCCATCAGGAAGGAAAGTGAAGGTGAAAGCCAACAGTCAATGGCGATTATATAATTATGACAATCTTCATAATCGTCAGTTATCAAGAAGAGGTAAGTTATGTTAACCATGAGGGTTGAACAATACGAAACTGCAAAACAAGCAATTTCATATGGTTCAATCTACTCTGTTCCTTTTTCAAAGACAGGGCAATCTGACCGTCTGTAAAGATTTCTGTCACTATTGATGCCAGATATACCAAGATCTCACAATCCCAACCAATCCTGATTTTTGCTCCCCTCCCCCCCTAAAATAAGTACCCCACTTGGGAAAGGCAACTTCCACAATTTCCTTTGGAAAGGAGAATGTCTGATTGGGAGAGCAGACAAAAAAGAACGCACACACGTGGGTTTTGTTTCTGGTTTTGCCAGCCCTGTTCCAGAGAACTAGGAACAGAGGAGTCCTTCCAACTCCAAGATACAATACTTCACGGGGGCGCACGATGTCCACTAGTCAGTCAGGTCAAATGAGAATTCCTATTTAAAAGTGGAAACTAATATCACTCCCCAACTTTGACCAACCAGTCCTGCTCATTATCAGCCCTCCTAATCTCAGAATATCCTACATCTTTTTAAATTGATAAAGAGAGAGTAGGTTCTACAAAATCACTATCTCAGGGAGGCGGGGATTCTTTTATTTCGATAAATGACCTCACATCCAGTTGACAAACAGGAAATCAAATAGCCCTCATTGTGAAGGAAGTAATCCCAGTGAGATGCTGAAGATGCAGAACAGATTCTGGGGTGTCTTGGGCTTTCTAAGCAAAAAAAAAAAATTATATATATATGTATTTTTTTTGCTGCAGGAAAAAAAAAAAACAATAGAGAGTACATTTCTATAGCATTTCTTGACCCCCACCTACCACATTCCTAGCTCACAAGTTTTTCTTTCTTTCTTTTTTATCCAAAACAATAATAATTATGAAGTAAGTAGAACTAAGTTTTAGTCTCAGTATAGGATAGGAGCAGGGGAGCAGGCCCCAAGTTAATCTGACACGAGGGCAGGTCTTGGCTTCACTGCCTAGATGTGTGTCCTTAGCAAACTGGTCCACTTTTGAGCCTCAGCTTTTCTACAAAATAACCTTCCTATCTCAGAGGTAAGTTATGATGAGTGTGAAACAGACAAAGCCATCAGCTCGATAAATGTTTAGTGAATTACGATGCTACTACATGAAGGATCAGGATAGAACTCAGGTCCTAGGTCAGTATTTAACACATGCCCTGTCAGGCTCATCTGCACTGTCTTAAGTTTAGAAGGTAATGTTCCTGTAGTAATACAATTAAAATTCTTTCTTTTTTCTAAAAGCAAGGTTTCTGCCAAACATGGTGGCTCTGTAGTATATTTCTAAACATAGCTGATCAATAACTTGACTTGACTACAGTAAGTAATAAAGTGAAATTTGTAATTTTACAAAAGTAAGCCGTACTCGGGGCGCCTGGGTGGCTCAGTCATTAAGCGTCTGCCTTTGGCTCAGGTCATGACCCCAGGGTCCTGGGATCGAGCCCCGCATCGGGCTCCCTGCTCTGCTGGAAGCCTGCTTCTCCCTCTCCACTCCCCCTGCTTGTGTTCCCTCTCTCGCTGTGTCTCTGTCAAATAAATAAATAAAATCTTTAAAAAAAAAAAAAAAGTAAGCAGTACTCTAGATTCCTGGAGATTACACAGTAAGAGTAACAGAGCCAGTGAATTAATCAGTCTTCTGTAGACTAAGGTGGCTTCTAAATTATTTTAGATGGCTGATTCTCTCCTTTTTTTTAAAAATAAAAAACAGACACTATAAATATATGTGTGTATATCTGTGTGAGTATGCATATATTTATATTTGTATTTATTTACTTCAAGGAAAGAATTACCCGTAATCCTCCTTGGTAATCAATATCATTGTTAACAAGCTCTACCATTAAAGCCTATTATTTAGTTCATGCCCATTTATTTCTCTTCTGAGTAAAACACAGAACTACGAAGGGCCTAACAACCTGTCCTTTAAAGGGAAGTCACTTTTCTTAGCTGATCCTTGCACACGCTGTTCCGTAACACCCTTCGAAGTCACTGACTTTCAAATTTCTAGTGACAAAACCTTTTCAAAAGGAAGGCAATTCAAATGTCAACATGCAAAAGGAAAGAGCACGGGAGGCAGAGAGCCCTGCAAAGCTCTGCCCAAGGAAGCATGATGCCTCCTTCCACTGCTTTCCGGTTCTGAGTGACAGAAGCAAGAAATGTAATCAACAGTCCAGTTAAGGTCACAACATGAGAGGAAGGGGTGATCTCTCTGTGTTCCTCCCACATATGGAATCTGCTCTCTCTACCAGAGATGGTCCAGGAGGTTGAGGGAAACGCCCCTCTCAGAGATCCTTCTCTTGCAAGAACTTAGAGACACACCGAGAGAGCTACCCAATGTTTTAGATGCTCTAGTTTGTGCCAGGAAAAAAACGACCCCATCTGGTTTCAAAGGGCTTCTATTTCTCATGAACTCCAGTTTCTCATACACTGACTAAAGGAGAGGGCAGTAGCCCTATTTAAGTCAACTTTTCCTGACCCAAATCAGAAAATGGCAAACATTTCTTGACACTATTACCTGAATGAGGGTAAGTCAATTACTATCTTCATGTTCCTGTTCCTTCTTCTACAATTACTTTAGAAATAATGACAGGGCCATCTTCCAGAATTACTGTAAAGATTGAGATGACAGCTATCATTTATTTGTGCTTGTCACCTAGTAAGAGCCAGTGAATGGGAGCTAGTAGTACCAGAAGCATCATCGCCATCCTCGAGTCTGGACAGATGGGACATTTCTTTCATGAAGAATATTGTGGAAAGCTATAATAAAGACTTTAAAGTCTGAAATCAACTCTCCAAAAAGTGCTTTCACCACAAACTGCACCATGTCAACGGGTACTCAATATAATTACCCCAAATTACTCCATCCTAAGTGAGAATTAATCTTTGCAAAGTATGCTGGGGGAAAAAAATTCTCCTGAGGTATAAACTTTATTTACTGACCACACAGTAAAATTCCCTTAAGAATCTCATTTTAAGATTCTGCTGAGGCCAGATGTGACTAACAATTTAGCACTTGGATTCAACCATAAAAGAATAAAAAGCAGAATACGGCAGTCTTTAAAATCAGTTTTGTTTCAGTGCTTAATAAACGTATCACAAATCTTTGTGATTTAAATTCGGAAGCCAATGGGTTGTGGTGAGCTTCTTGCCCATTCCGGGAATAACACATACCACATATCAACGCACACCAGTGCTCACACATACACAGTTCCATTAGGAAATGCTTTAAAAAAAAATGCTTTAAAGAAAAGCAGAGTTCTATTTAAAAACAGCTGCCAACCCCCACACCAAATCCTTATCCTGGGAATGTGCTTCCTTCAAACCAATTCTGATGAAAGAGAAAAGGAACCTTAAGAGAAAAGTAATTTTGAAATCCAGGCAACAGTAGGGAGAAGATACTGTTCCTTTCCATTTAAGTGCATTGCTATGAGACTGTCTAATAAAGGTCTTATTTTCTACTTGCTCGCAAGTTCCCCGTGTTGTTACCGGTCTTTTTTGTTTTTTGGGTTTGTCTGTTTTTTTTTAAAGACTCTGTCACCTCCCGCCCTGAGTCTTATAGCAGCACCCTTGAAGGCAAGGAGACACAGCACACAGCCAACTTGAAATCCCATTTGCAATGACCCAACCACATCGGGGCCTCCAAGTGCCCTGCCAACAGCAGCAGGTGGGAGCATGGCAGAGCTAGGCGCCCCCCCCACCGCCCCCCGGCCCACTGACCTTGTGATGACCCGTGACTTCGTCCCTGCTTCTCCCCAGCTCCTCAGCAAGTTTCACGTTCTCTTCTTGCAATGCCGAAAGCTGCTGGGACTTCTGAGCTGCTGCCTGCTTGAGGGTTTCTCTGCAAAGGACAGTGTGCACGGTTACTATAGAAACAAGACAAGCAAGGAAACTGTGGGAGACGACCGGCTTCACAGCAACTGAGGAAAATATATCTGGGTCACGTGCCTGATAGGATCTCTAACAGGGAGGCAGCGGCATCTACGTGCCAGAGAGGCTAAATGGCTTTAACCTCTCAGGAGGAGGACTGCCGCCTACAACTATTACATTTTTTTAAAAACCTAATAAACACTATATCCACCCTCTCTCCACCCACACTCACCCCCTTCTATCTAAACACTCCCTGTACAAAAAGCAACGTTACTATTAAAATAAATGACAAACGAAATGGTCAGTCCTCTTGTCTTGAGGACTATTTCCGTCAGAAAATTATGCTAAAACCCACTATGTTGATAAAGTGATTTACTTTGCTGCCAAGGTACTCTGGTCTGACTGCACAGATCTGTAATCTGGTTTTTGTTTTTTTTTTTCCGGCAGAAATAAAAATCTAATGGTCCCACATTTGCTGGTATCTGTCGGAGTCAAGTGCTAGCGTGAATCTGAGTATATTTTTAGGACACCTCTCCAGGTGAAATGCCCAAAGGAAATGTGGTTTTCCAATTACATAACAGATGTTTCATTTTGATTGAATTCTTTCCACAATGTTAACTTGTAATTAAAAGAAGAAAATAAAAATACAGCCTGCTGACGTGTATCACGAATATCAGCATATAAAATGTGGACAGGATAAGTATGGTTATTAAACATCTTCCCAATATTAAAATTATCCAAAATATACATCTCAAATTATTTTTTTTTAAAGATTTATTTATTTATTTATTTGACAGAGAGAGAGAGCACAAGCAGGCAGAGTAGCAGGTAGAGGGAGAGGGAGAAGCAGGTTCCCCGCTGAGCAAGGATCCTGATGCGGGGCTCGATCCCAGGACCCCGGGATCATGACCTGAGCCGAAGGCAGACGCTTAACTGACTGAGCCACCCAGGCGCCCCTACATCTCAAATTATTATCCTTTACACATGGATATTGAAAATATTTTGTTTGAGGGGCGCCTGGGTGGCTCAGTTGGTTGGGCGACTGCCTTCGGCTCAGGTCATGATCCTGGAGTCCCGGGATCGAGTCCCACATCAGGCTCCCTGCTCAGCAGGGAGTCTGCTTCTCCCTCTGACCCTCCTCCCTCTCATGCTCTCTGTCTCTCATTGTCTCTCTCGCAAAGAAATAAAATCTTAAAAAAAAATTAAAAAAAAAAAAGAAAATATTTTGTTTGATCACTGGATTTTAGTTTTCTGTCATGGAAGGTTTTGATGCCACTATAATTTTAAGTCTGTGCTGGCTAAACTCCGCTTAGGGAGCTGTCATACATGGCGAATCCTGAATCAAGTCCTCTGGGTATGAATCCATCTGCTGATGCAGGAACACATCTATTTTTAACTTCAATTGTCTAATGGCATCTTCAGTTTTTTTTAGTTTTAATTCTCCATCCACCTATAATATACATAGCGGGGTAAGGTTTAGGGGAATAAATCTACACAAAAATTCTCCTAGCACATTAAATTAGGTGTTTTACAGAGATGTCTATTTAGCAAGTAAGGAAAAACAGAGACGAGATTTTAGCCTCAGGTCATTCAAAAGCTAGGAGGGTTGGTTTTAATTATGCATGCATACACACCCACACACAAAAACAAAACAGCTAAAGTTCACCTTCTGGCCAAAGTCCATCAGTTCTTGACAAATCTGAAGATTTAACTTAGGACATCCTAAGTCAAACCTTTTACTCCTAGGTGTCACTGCCTACCTCAGGAGCTATTTGGACTCATCATCTGGATGGCCTGTCAGTGGTAAGTTTGTGATCCTGTTCTCTGTCTCTTAAAGATTTTCATCTTTAATGGCTTATTATTATTATCATCATCATCATTATTATTAAGTAGGTTCCACTCCCAGCATGGAGCCCAACTCAGGACCCTGAGATCTAGACCTGAGCTGAGATCAAAAGTCGGATGCTTAACCAACTGAGCCACCCAGGCGCCCCTTAAAGGGTTTTTTTTTTTTAAATCCTTGGTTTCTATTAAGAGCCCACAGTAAAGAGAATTAAAATAAGGAGTCAAAGAAATTTCAAAATGTTCTAAAGTACTGATCTATGAAAGCATTATTTGCTCAACATAAAATCTATAAAATGCTTTCATGAACATTTTCTCAATCAGTCCTCAAAGCCCAGTGAGAGGCTAATATTATTTGTATTTTAAAGATGAAAAAACTGAAGCTCAGGGAAGCAAGAGATTTTCCCTAAATCATAAAGCCAGTAAATTGCAGGAGCAAGAGAACTGGAGTTAAAACTGGCGATGGACCTCAGCTGTGATTCAAATATAGAAACACCTTTCCATTTTTCTTTAGAGTGTAGTGGGTACAGGCATTTCATACAGGAAGAAGGCTCTCATAGCCCAATTTCCGGAAATACTCCAGGGAATAATTCTGAAAATACCTACAAGTATTTCTAACAATTTTTAAAGCTACTTTTCTTTCTACATGACGAAAGACTATCCCAGTGTTAAAACTGAGAGGCAAATACCTATTTTTCACATTGACCTGCAAACATTCTACTTACAAGTCTATTATAAATCAATTAACTGCCACGCTAAATCTATTCTAGATTTATTACTGTGCCAGGTGAGTAATTAAAGACAACAATTACATCATTTTCCCTAAGATTCAAAATTATACGTCAGAGAGAAAACATCTTCTCCACCTGAAAATAGGAGCTGGCTAACCAAAACCAAGAGTTTTCCTAAAACCAGTCTAATAAATAGCACAGAAGGGACACTTAGCTACGGGCGCTGGGTGGCCAGTACCGAGGGCAATATTACATAGGAGGCAGTTCCAGTTATAACCCCAGTGTCTACACTGGGGCCCATTTTCCTCCACGAATCCAAGTCCTGTCAGGTGAGGGGAGACACCAGGAAAGTTCTAAAGGACCTAAAGCGCCCCAGATACATGCTGAACCACAGAGAAATAATCAGCTGCTCGTTCTCTAGCTTTGAGTACTGAGGAACTAAGGAGCGGTAAAATGACTGCCTTCTCTCCTTTTTTCTTTTTTTTGGAGAAGCACCGTTCCCATTACATAGTACATTTATTTTAGATGGTCCTTGAAATGTGGCCAAGCCTACAGCAGGGAACAGTGAGTCACTGGGGGCAGGGGCTCTTCCAGCCTACTCCCTCTACCAGCTTCTGAAGCCTGTGACTGGAGTCTCCCACTGCCCCTCCCTCCTGCTAAGGAACCCTGGCCACGGTGAACCAGGTCACCGACAGAAGACGCGATTCCCTCAGACCTGGTTGGCCAGAGAAAAGGTGGAGAGACAGAAGCAGCGCAGGCTGTCTGCCCAGTGGTCCTGGTTCCTCCTCACCCAAACTACTCCCCCTCAGGGTCAGAGGTCTGGGGACAATGGCTTCAGGGAGGAGGACAGGCAAGGTTAGAGGGGCAGCAGCAGGGGCCACAGTCTTTTGCTCATGATCCTTTGTGCCCACAGCCAGGAGGCTAGGCTTTTATTATTCAATGGAATCATTCAAAGAAGGGCAGAAAATTTATCTCCTAACAGAGGTAAAACCACCACCCCACATTAACTGGGGATGGGTGACATGACACAGTGATTTAGTGAGGATGTTTAACGCTCAAATACTAGACCGATGCAATGGCCATTATGAGAGACTCCTAAATAGTACTGCAGGAAAGAGGGGTTTTATCGAAGTCCCAAGAGCTCTCTCGGCTAGGTCCACGCTGGCCCTGCCCCTCCATTACCTAGTATGGCCCAGAGAGCTCAGAGGTGGGATTATGGCAGTGGGAGGTTGGTTAGGGAATCTTCTGCTGCTCAGATCCTCCCTCACCAGCTGCCTGTGTGACACAAATGAACTAAAGTCAACAGTGTTCGAACACTCCAGGTCAGCCTAACTACTTGTGTGTCCCAGGGCAAAGTCCCGCACCAGACCCGCGGCCACCCTCTCAGAGCTGATGCTAGCTTCGGTTCCCATCACAGTCTGGGTGATGCGGTTTCGGAAGGCCAAGAAACACAAGCTCTTCCTGATGGCCATAAGCACAAGTGTGAACTCAGAAATCTGTGTATGGGAACGGAACTGGTAGGAACTAGGAACTGTCTACATATCGTCTGAAGAAGTATCATTAAAACTAAGACTGAGGTCTGGAAGTGCCAGATCACTATACTGGGCGCCTGAAACTAATGTTACACTGTATGTTAACTGGAGTTTCAATAAAAATGAGAAACAAAAAAACAGAGATTGAGGAAGGGATTGATCGTGTGCCCTGAGTCATTCAGAGGAGATTCTTTCTCGGGCAATTTTACGAACTCTCAGAAGAACCTGACATGTCCTAGGTTTAGTCTGAGCTTGATCAACAAATCGCCTTGAGGATGGAGACTTGGAACTGGTGCTTCTGTCTGACTCAATCTCATGCCTCTATTTGATAAGAACTGGAAGTAAATAATACAAGCCCTGTAAGGGCAGGGGCCATATAAATCCATCTTTGTAGCCTTCCCAGCACGGAAGACACACTCAAACGTTCACCACATTAACTGGCTTTAAATTTTTAGGTTTACACAGTTGATATGGTGTAGCTCTCAGAAAGAAAATCTACACCAAAACTATCATTTCAAATGCCCGATAAACACCAACAATTATGATGATCGGACTTGAACGGCAAGGATTTGAAGGTGGTGTTGGCAAAGGAAACACAGCCGACCTGTCTGCCTGAAATCGAGGTAGCACACTGATGGATAAACGCTGATTAGAAAGATTCTTCCAGAATTCTCTCATCTGATTTCCATGCCAGAAGATTTGATTACTCTTAAAATCAAGATTATTGATAATCTTGAAAGTGACATGCTTTTTTCTCCCTACAGAAAGGGTTTTGAGAGATTTATTAAGGGTCTGACGCTTCAGACCCTTTAAAGCACACTACTTTAAAAAAAACCTCTGATTCCTCTTGTATTTTCCTCATAAAGTCATATTCGAATCCCAAATGCCCTAACTTATCAGCCAGCACACATTCACTTTGATCCTTTAACCCAGCTATCATTGTGACTTAGCTACCTTCCAGCTAAGTGGTTACAGGGGTTACTTCTCAGGTACGCTACCGCATTTGGGGGGCAGCAAGGGGGCAATTCCTTTTTAAGTACTTGTGAGGTTATTTTTTAAATAATTAGTCTCGTTTTCACTTTCGTAATACTAAGTCCCCCAGTTTCTCTCAAAGGAGATGAACTTACATTTCTTTCCTGAACTCTTCCATTTTTTGGTTCTCTACCGTCAGAAGTTCTTTTGATTTGTTCAGCTCTTCCACATTTTTCAAGTTGTTTTCTTTAAGTGTATCCAACTTAAAGACCAAGAAAAAAAAAACTTGATGAAATTATTTCATTTTCCAGTGACATGACTGGATAGACAAATTATTCATGCAAATGTGCACTAAAAAGATAGGTGACATTAGTCACTTGCACCAAAAAAAAGTCACTGGGTGAGATGACAAATGACCACGTCTATTATAAACTGCAAGCCTCCCCCTTACGTTTAGTCAGACATTCCCTGTACACCTGGCAAAAATGTCAAACTGCTACATGAATTACAACAAAAGTTTGCTTTCATTTTGTGTACAATTCTCAATATTTACCATTGAACTTCCTATTCAAGTATGACTCCTCTTAAAAATAAAAAAACAAATAAATTGCAAAGGCATGACATGAGCAAGGATTATTCTTTGTAATAAAAACAAAAATACCCTTTCCTTCCCCACAGATTAGTAATTTCGGATGTATTTGTCAACCTTAGTACCAAATGTACGGAGTCCTAACTACAAAAATTTTCTGAATCAAGTATCTGTAGGCGGGAGAATATCTGATTATCCATCTTAACTTTGACCTGAAAAGAAAAAAGCCAGGTAAGTGAGGCCAAAAAGCACTCACATTTGTTCAGCCCCATCACCTGCCCACAGGGGATGCAGCCAGCTTAGGGCCTGGCCCTGGTGGGAACGCCAGACACGTTCCTGGAATGAGTGGGGACGTGACCAGCTACAGGCCCTGGCAGGTGACTGGAGTTCTAGGCGCAGGGCCCCGACCAGGGATGGGGAGCTCGCTCGGGGCTGTCCACTGCCCAGGGTATGCTCCTGGCACCACGGCGGCTTCCTGGGACTTGGGTAGTCCTCTCCTACAGCCAGAGACACCTTTGCCGCATCATATGCCACCTGTCAGGAATCCTAGACAGTGCTTCAACGGCTTTACCACCACAGTATTCCTTTTAATGTCCTCTACCATTAATAGAGGAATCTGGAATTCCAGATTCACAGAACAAGAAAAACCAAGTATCAAAATGGGTCCGAAACAATGATTTATCCGGTCTTGTATTCTGGTTGAGTAACAAGGACACCAAGGGTTAAGTCATGAAGGCACACAATTCTCCCTGATTCTACCCTCAAAAATTAGATCTATTCCCTAAAATCTTCTCATTTATTTTAGCTTCTATGAGTAATCATCTGATTTTTTAAAATGCTTTTTCTTCTTCTCTTAGGACTATCAGTTCTGTAAATGTAACCCCTTCTATGTCCCATTTTATTCGCCCTATAATTATCTCAAAATGTGCATGTCTTTACAGATCTCCATCTTTGACCTTCCACAGTGAGAAGGCCTAGCCTCTACAAATCAGCTACTCAATGTGGCTAGCCCTTCCTTTGCTTTAATTCCTTAATGTCTCACCTGACTATCCCTTTCAAAAGCATCTGAAGTTCTACAGAACCTCACATAACTACTTTGGCGAATCCATCTGCTTAGGATTCAGAGGTAACTGCTTCCCAAAGAAAGAAAGGGTTGGTATGAGCTGGGAGTGGGGAGGACGGGGATCAAAAATGGGTCCAGGAAGAATGAGAAATGTGCTACTTTGCACAGAATCGAAGCGATCTCGATGCCGCAAGTCTGTCTGAGACCCAGAAGTAGCTGTTTGGAGAGGACACAAAAGGGAACCAGGACTGAGTGAGGCCAAGAAAAGGCCTACGTCAAACTCAGGGCTGAAGAGTGGAATTTAGTGGCTCGAGGTGGGAGAGAGTCGAGGGGAAAAAATGTGTGTGATTTCAGATCAAAGATACAAAAACGAGAGTGTTACGAGTACCTCTCTCATCAGTTCCATCACTGAAGTTACTGGAGAAAGCCACGCTATTGGGGTTTTCCCCTCATTTTTTTTTAAAGGTTGATCCTATTAAATGAGTAATGAAGTCATATACTTTATTTAATATTATCGTGGTTCTGGTGTACATTCAACTCCACTAACACAGATCAAACCTGTATGAGGCCACACTTCAAAAAATAAACAATCCTGAGTTAGTGATCAAACATTCCATGAAGTCGGTAAGCTGTCCTTTGTACAAAAAGCCATTTAAATCTGATTACTTCATTCTGTAGTTTTTCATTTGTTTGCTTGGTATCCTCCAAGGAGGCCAGAGTTTCACTCTTCTCTTTGGTCATCTGTTCCATTATCTGCATGGCGTCTTCTGCCGTTTGAGCAGCCTGAACACAAGAAAGCACTGTGAGAAATGAGGACAGCCCTCAGCAAGCCCATCGGGGACACTCAGGCTGTGCTGCTCAGGCAGCCCTCACTGTCTGTGTGGTTAAGGTGAAGGACCAGCCACCAATCCAATGCTGAGACAAACAGACCGAGCCATGAAAGGGGAACCAAGTTACAAACCCCTTTCATGCCGTTCTTCAAACAAGCCAACTGCAATTTGCAATTTGTGTATTTCCAGACCCTTCCAACCCTACATCTTCCAAGCTCTAAAGTTACACTGACAGTCACGCTCATCACTCTGACCTATGTTTGAGAGAAACGTTCAGTGATAACGAACAGTAACATCCTTATGTAGCTGAATTTTCCCTTCATCGTATTTATTGCTGTATGTTTGAAATACTATTCTTGCTATTTCAGATTTGGGGCTTTTAAAATCACCTATAATTTAGGTTGGGAATTTCCCAACTAAAAATAAAAATTATTTGGGCAATTATTAACATAAGGCTCAAGTATTTAATGAGAAGCATTAAGTGGAAAAGTCTATGAGAGAAGTTGTGGGTAATGAACATAAACATGGCTGTGAATAAAAAAGATCATATGCATATAGACACAAATCCTTAGCTGATATAAAAATAATCATAAAAAATAAAATTTTTTATTTCTTGTTTTTCATAAAAAAGAAATTAAAATATTTTTAGGCACTTGCTTACAATTTCATGCAGTCTACTAAAGCTGATGGGAATTCTGCATTATGCCTTCCCTACTACCAGCCATGGGAAAGTTCGTTGGAGTGTTCCAACTCCACTTGGAAAGACACAAGCAAACAGTTAAAAGCCAAATAGAAGATACTATGTTTCACCATGTGCCCATTTTACTACTGTTCCTAATCCTTTAAGAACCACAGTTGACTTTTTCAAGAAAATTTCTCCTTAAATTAAAAAATGTATCCTTTTTATTCACAGTTTACAATTCTTTCCAATGGAGAGAGACAACTGCAATTAGAGATTTAGTAAACAACTGCCCCTTCAGGTGGTAAAACAACAGCGTGAGACATATGAGCAGCTGCTTAAGTGGGGTGCATTTCCTCACGTGGCCACGAAGACAAGCCCCCCAGGGCTGCTAGGAAGTTAGTGCCCGGGGTTAGTAGTCCAGGCCTGGTCCCTGACCCTCCCATTTTACCGTAAATGACTGAAGAGTCTCGAGCTCTCTAATTTTAAGAGTGAGCTTGCTCTTGTCTTTCCTCAAAATACGGTTTTCATTTTGAGATTCTAGGAGGTTGGCAGAGATATGGCTGTTGGTTTTGGCCAACTGGCTAATCTCTTTCTGAAGGATGAAGTAGCTTTCTGCCAGCCTTTCCTTCTCCTTCAGGAGCTCCTCCTTGGCCAGCATCATGTCTCTCTTCTCGGCCAGGAGGTTCTTGTTGTCCTGTACCACCTTGGCGCGATCGGCCAACGTCATCTCGTGCTTCAGCCGGAGGTCGTCCAGGATCTTGGTGAGGCAGCTGTGCAGTTCCTGCAGCTCCAACTTGGATTTGGACAAGGTGGTGAAATCGCTCTTCAGAGTCTCTATATTGGCAGCGAGCCGAGCCGTTTCTGCACTCAAGAGCTCCTTCTCCTTAATTATCTCCACCACTTTCTGCTCTGACTTGGTCTTCTCTTGGACGAGCACAAAATTTTCGGACTGCAGCTGCTTAGTACACACTCGTAACTCTTCCAGCTCCTGCTCCAGGAGCGCCATCCTCCCGTGAAGTTTATTGTTTTCGTACAGGGACGACTCGTTTTCCTGTGCTCTGGCTTCCTTTTCCAGGATGAAGGACTGCTGCATGGTGTGGATCTCCTCGTTTAGTCTCTGACACTCTTCTTGCAGGTTCAGCCCATCCCTCAGCAAGATGCTCTTTTCAGAACAGCACGTCTGAAGTTCGGCATTCAGACTCTCCTTTGCTTGCAGGGTGCTCGTATGCTCTTTTTCTAGACTCTTCCTGGCATTCTGGGCCTCTTTCAGCATCAGAGAGAGCTCGTGCTTGGTGGCTGCCAGCTCTTGGTTTTCCCTTTTCCTCTCCTGAAGCTCCTTCTTCAGAGTGTCGAGATTACCAAGGAGTTTCATCTTCTCGTGCACTATGATTCTTCTGTTGGCAGACTCTTGATCGTATTTCCTTTTGAGGTCTCCTATGGTTTTCATGGAATTCTCTCTCTCTGCAAGCAAATCTCCATTTTGCATTTCCAGGACAGACTTTTCCTTCAAGAGACTGTCATGCTGCTTTTTGAGCTTAGTAATTTTCTGACATACCATCTCCTTCTCAGAAGTTAGGTAAGTGATCTTCTCATTCAGGCTTATCTCGATATGGGCGGCCTCTTCCGAGCATTTCTTCAGTTTTTCAGCGATGAGCCTGTTTTCACGTAGAAGTTCTTCTTTTTCAGCTAAGAGTCTTCTCTCAGATGAGGCCAAGGTTTCTTTTTCATGCAGAAGCTGGAAGCACTCGGAGTCTGTGATCTCCCGACTGGCCTTGATTTCTTCCAGGAGCTTGGTGAGGCTGGTGTTTGTAGCCTGAAGTTGCCTCATCTCCAGCTCAGCCTTCCTCAGAGCCCGCTGGGCATCGTCTAACTGTGTGCGGAGCCCACTGGCTTCCGTACTGAGTAGCTGCTTGATCTGGAGGGCGGCCTCCAGGCTGGCGCTCAGCTTTTCCTGATCTTGAAGAAGCATGTTCTTCTCAAACTGCAGATCTTTGCTGCTTTGGAGAAGATTTTCTCTTTCCACTTTTAAGGCTATGCACATGTTATCAAGACCTGACTGCTTCTCCAAAGCTGACTTTTTCTCAGTGGTGAGATCTTCAATCTCTTGCACCAAGGTTTTCTGATCTTTGACTAGTTCCTCGTAAGAGCTCTGCAGCTTCTGAATAATTTCATCTTTATCTTTAGCCAAGGCAATGTTTTCAGTAGCAAGCTTCTTGATATGATCCTCCAGGTGATCTTTTTCTTCCTGATCCTTCTTAGACTCAGCAATCAAAGTATCTTTGCTGAGCCGGAGCTCTTCCACGAGTGTCTGCAAGCTTGCCCTGGAAGCCTGCAAAGAGTCATTTTCCATACTGATCTTCAAAAGTTCTTCCTGCGCAGTATTGATTTCTCGTAGTAACTGCTCTCTCTCAACAGCCAAAGATTCTTTATGGAGCTGTTCCTGCCGATAAAGCTTTTCAGCATCTTGCTTCTCTTCTAAGACTGTCTCCTTTTCTAAATGAAGAGTTTCATTTACCGACCACAGTTTCTGTTGATCTTCCTGGAGTAAAGTTATTTTGGCCTCCACCTCTACCAGCTTTGATAAAAGTGAACCTTTTTCTAACTTTAAAGCATTTCCCTCCTGTGCAAGAAGCTGCTTCTCTGACTTCAGACCCCTCAGCTCTTCTGACATTAGTTCAATTTCTTTTTTGGCTGATGTTAACAAATATGTTAGCGACTACAGAAACAAAGGGTGGAAAGAATGGAAACAAAATGAAATCAAGCAGACAAATGCGAGCCCAAATAGCTTAATGTAACCTAAATCGTAAAAGGTTGAATTTTTTTTTTTTTTTTTTTTTTTTTTACAATAAATGTCATAAAAACTATCTGGGATAACAAGGAGGGGAAAACCAGATGAAAAGAGCCCAAAAAAGGATAATTAATACAAAGCAGGTTTAGCTTTGCAAAGTGCTGGTCTACATACTGGTTTATTTTTTCTTTGCAACACTTATGAAATCATTCCTGAGTGGTATCTAACGAGGCAAAAACAGTAGTTTGACTTGGACATCAGGGCATGAGATTCTTTCCTGCCCTTCCAACTTCCCAATTATTTCTATTGTAGGAAGAATTCAGAGAAGAATTTTAAAAAATACAATCCAGAGAACTACAAAAAGTGAGTATATTTTAACCAAAAAAGGGGGGGGGGAAGGGTGAGGGAATATAAACTGTTGCTTTTCAAACTAACTAAAGACCTTGACTTTCTAAAGGACAGTCACTGACCTGACCGATTTAATCCCAATTATTACATATAACTTATTAAAAGTACAGACCAATTTGCTAGACTTTTGGTGACTAAAATACATGGGTTTTTTTTAAAAAAATACTAGTTTATAAAATGACTTGAGCACATTATCTATACCAGTGCTGTCCAGAACCTTCTGCAGTGGTGTGGGTGTTCTTTATCTGCACGAATATGGTAGCTGCCGATCATGTGTGTGGCTGGTGAGCATGTGAAGTGCAGCGAGTGCGAGGGAGGAGCTCGATTTGTAATTTATCAAAATATAAACAAACTGAAACTCAAATTTAATGTGGCCAGCAGCTAGCGCCTTGGACAACATAGCTACAGATCACTGGCTCTTCAGCCAGGAAACACAGCAACTTCGTGGGCTCCGCGAACCTCCTGACGTCTCATATAAAAACTTGTTGAGCATATAAATTTTCCCTAGGAGGGGAAGATCTTAAGGTTTCATCAGATTCGTAAAACAGTCTGTGAGCCACTACTGTTGACAGACATTAAAATCCACAGAAATCAGACAGAGACAACTTTGGAAGGGGAACAATCCTAATGACCCTTGTAAAAAATTAAAAATTAAAAAAAAAATTTACAACACCAGTAAGCAAAATTAATGAGCCTTCACACAAACTACTGGAAAGCTTGGTTTGGTCAGACTGCCACATTTTAAGGGAAACACTGAAAAGGTGGAGTCTGTCCTGGTAAAGGGAAGCACAAAGACAACAGATCTGGAAATCAGTGTTAAATGGCTCATAGAGCTGGACATGTTCTACAGGGAGAGGGTGACACGGGAAGGAGAGAAGGTGTGTGTATGCAGACGTGGCTTGTGTTCTGTCCTGGTCCAGCCTAATTAACAAGTTTCAGGTGGGATTTGTTTCAAGTCTCATGTATGCTCTTACACTTCCTTTTTACTAATCTCCTAGACAAACATTAAAAATAACTAAAGACAAGTATTTACTTTTCTTTGAGCAAATTCAATGACGGCAGGAAAAAGTTAAACACCGGTAGGACGGTTGAACTTCATTAAGTAACCAGAGTCAAAAAAATATACTGGGTTGCAGAGATGATCCTGATGCCATAAAATCAAATTCAATGTATTAAATTCTACTCTATTTAATAACAGGATTGTGCCTTCCGGGGACATACAGAAGCCCTCTCTAGAGCCCTCACTTCTAATGTGCCCTAAAGGAGCCCTGCTTCTCCAGGGCTCACTAGCTTCACTTGGCCTCAGCCTGTTGCGTTGCTGCAGGACGTCTTTCCTAACCCCACTGCACGGTGGCAGCAAGACGGCCAAGATTAGAGGCCACAACAGAGTCTCCTGCCAGCGGGTGGAGAGAGTTCCGGCTACACGCGACTCTCTGGGACAGCTGGGAAGCCAGCAGCGCGGGGGGGTGGGGTGAGGCTACAGGGTGCACTCGGGGAAAACCCGGGCAGTAGCCACCCCTGAGCAGGGGCAGCAGCTAGCAGAAAGCGCCGGAAGCCAGGAAAACGGAATTCGCCATCCTGCCATGCGCTCGGAGGTTAGCATCTATCTGTAAAGGTCGGTGCAACCCTTCCCATCTGCTGCCGCTTTACACACCCCACTGCGGCCTTGATGCCGTGCAGCTTTGTGACCCTCTCCCAGAACATACTTGGGCTTTGTCGGCTTGCTTTTTCAGTTCCGCCATCTCCTGCATCAAGTCGCTGTTCTCCTCCCGCGCGGCCTTCAGCCTCTGCTCCGTGTCCGACAGCATCTTCTGCAGGCTCTGCAGGACAGCTTCATGCTTCGCCTTTGTCTCACAACTGGCTTCCTCGAACCTGGCCTTCAGATCCTGGCACTGGTTGTGGCTCATTTCCATCTTCTTTTCCTGCAGAAATGCCAAGGGAAGCAGTAAGTCACCCAGCCGTATCTGCACAGCCCTCGCCTTCCTTGCCAGCACTTAGTTCCATACACTCTCTCCTTACCAGGTCCAACAACTTCCTCAGCAGCTCTTTCTTTTCCTCCTCATGCTTTTTAGCTGCTTCCTGCTGGCTCTGTTCCGCCTGGAGAGTGACCTCCCCAATACTCTTCTGCAGAAAGCTTGCGTTTTCATTAGCCTTTGTAAGTTTTAGCTGTAATTCTTCTACATCTCTAGAACAAGGTTCAACACAAAGTGTCAGAGTTTTCAAAAAGAATGCCTTAAATTCCAGAGTTATACTTAGATACTATTCATAACTGTATTAATGATTATAAGTTATGAGTAATTAACAACATCTGAAATAAACAACCAAAAAAATGGCTTGACTTGCCTTGAAGACTAATTTTAACAATTGAGACAGTTATAAATACATTATTTAGAGTGACAACTACTGTAATTGTGAAGGTTTATTATTTTATGTCAATAGATCAGTAAGGAAAAATGAATGAAAAGTAAACATAGATGAGGAAATGAATTAGTTTCAAAAAACTTTAGCAGACGAGATTATCAAAAACTCATTGTAGTGCCCCTTGAGAACACAAGATACAAAATGACAAGTGATAACTTGAAGATCTACCTTCGCAATACCAATGTGGTTCAACAGGACGTACAGAAGACGTGGGACACAAGAGAGCGGGCTATCAGAGGACTCCAAGAGTGGAGGAGGGAAATCTGGATGGTCCCTCTGGGTCGGGCACCTGTCCAACACCCGCAGAGCTGGAGATCCCTGGGGCACCTGGGCAGCTCCCCCCGTCACAGCAAGTCTGACCACAGGTGGCCAACCCAAGCCCAGCTGCCACCCCCCACCCACCACCACGCTGAACCATGGGGGTGCATGGCCAGATGTAAACCTAAATGCCAACTAGTCACACTTCCAGAATCGTGGGTCTCATGGACCTAAAATGTCCTCTGAAAGTTTCTGCTTTATGAAATAAAACATTTGACTTTTATCTGGCAGCTATTAAAAGAAAAGAAAGATCAAAGCAACAACAGCCTCAGAATAAAGACAGGAAGGGAGGTGGAGACGGAAGCTGCAGCGCGGAGGGCCTACGAGGTAGCGCTGACCAGCAGTGAGGGCTCGGGGACCGGCCCGCCCAGGCCCGAAACTGCAGGCAAGTCACTTCACCTCGTGAAGCCTCTATTCTTTTCTCTTCAAGATGGGAACAAGAATACGCTCACCTCACAGGATTATTATGAGAATCAGAAAACACTCTGCTAGAGCGGTCTGCAGAGTGCAGGGCACACACCTAGTCAGCCTGTAATACGGTTACCCTTCATTACACTGAACAGGCTGCCCGTGAAAGATGTTCCTGCACCTGGTAAACCACTGCCTTGTCTTTACAAGCCATCAAAAAATCTACAATACTGTATTACTTAGAAGGTTCTGTAGCTGATTTAAGGGTACACTCATGTGGTAAGAAAAAGGAAGAGCGACAGGAAACTTTTAAACAGAACAATCCTGAATTTTGGCCCCCCTCCCTCCGAGACTCCACTTCAGAGACAAACCCAAGTCAGGCGCCCTTATAACCATTCATACATACCTTTCTTTCAGACGTAACTCGTCATTCATTTTTGTCAGCTGAGAAGAGTTATCTCCAGACATCTTCATTATTTCTGCAATGTTGTTCTCCAACTTCTCCTTCGCCTTTATCAACTGCTCTTCTCTTTCATCTCTCTCTCTAAATTTCGCCTCCATATCTGAATATATATAGAAAAAAAATAGCACCGTAGTGTTACAGTCAACAAAAGTTTATTGACTGCATCCTATATTCCAAGGTTTGCTCTGGGAATATTTGCAAAAAGCAACCCCTGCCCTCATGAAAATCATATTCTAGCCAAGATGACGGACAATAAAGAAGATTTAAAAAAAAAAACACAAACAGTATAAAAATAGTGTTAATTGCTAAGAGGGAAAAAAATACAAGCAGAGAAAGGAATCAAGGAGTTGGGGAGGCTAAAATCTTAGACAGGGCCTCTCTGAATGGTGACATTTAAGTAAAGACCTGAAGGAACTTAGGGAAAGCAAGTGCAAAGGCCCTGAGGCACAAAAATGATTGACTTGCAAGTATTACCAACAAGGCCAATATGGTTGGAGTAGAATGAACAAGGGCAAGGGTAGTACGAGAGGCCATCAGAGAAGTAACAGGGCTTGGCATTGGTAAGACTGCAGTTTTTACTCTGAGTGAGATGGGAGCCACTGGGTGATCTCGAGCAGGAAAGTGACATGACCCGACTTGGCAGAAGGATGGTTCTGGATGCTGTGCTGCACATGGACTAAAGGAGATGAGAGCAAAAGCAGGCAGAGCAGGGGGCCAGCTGTTACAGCAGCTCAAGTGAAAGATGACGGTTGGCTTGAATCAAGGACAGTGGGAGGAGTGGTGATGTGTGGGGATTCTGACTTGTTTGAAAACAGGGCAGAGAGGATTTGTGGAGGTTACAGACCTCAAGCAAGTATTTTATCGCATTATACCACACTAACGAGCGAAGAAGTGACCCCCGAATAGATGTTACTGTAACGTACTACAGTTATCTCAAAACCTAGGAAACCCACCATATTCAATGCTTTGTAGGCAGAGACATCTTACCTGTTAAATTTTCTCTCAACTTCTCCAATTCAGTAGATAGTGCATTAAACTGTTCCTCCTTTTGGTGTAATTTATTTACAGTTTCTATTGGGGAAAAGGTAAAAGTTTAACATATTTCATACTTAATAAGCCATCTAGAGGTTGGCAGTCTTACAACCAAATCAAATCACATGCTTGGGATTTGAGAGGACAGAAATACTAAAAAGTCCCACTACAACATCAAACCACCGTGTACTGACCTAGAGAAGCAAGCCTTTTTGCCTCCCCACATCTGTGGATTAGACAGGCACCAGGCATCCCTTTCCAGGCCTCTCTTTCCTATTTCCAGCTAAAACTCAAAAAAGCTACCCATGACTAAAGATTAAGTAAGATAGTATTTTTCCCAAGGATACTTAAATTTTTACACGGAACAAGCTTTTAGTCACAAGAAGAAAGAAGTTACTGGGAGTCTGAGGCTTCAGGAAGCCAGTGCACTCTGGTGTTACTGTGTGCTGCAGAAGCTTCCAGAAGCATGTCATCAGACTACAGGAGTATCTGGTCCCTGCACCCAGAGGCTCCAACGTGAGAACCTGACACTCTCTAAAGCCATACTTAGTAAGACATACCTTGCATGCTTCTCTGAACAGAGACCGTCTCCTCCGAAGCATGAGCAAACTTTTCTTTCTAAAATTAAGAGTGGGATATTCAGAACAGAAAGATACCAAATTACAGAAATAAAAAGTTTCAATCAGTCATAATTACAATACTATCTACTTTTTGTGACTGATTTTGTCTCATTAAAACTTACACTTAAAACACGCTGGCACCAAGCACTACCATATGTGTCCCGTGCGTGTACGTGACACAGGGGAAAGGGTTTACATCTCTGTCCTTGCCCGAGCATGCGTGTACATCTGTACACGTGTGTGAATGTGCACACGTATGTGCTTGTGTATACACGTGGTACACACGTATGTTTTTTTTCCTGTCGCCACCCTCCAGCAGCAGGACTGTGACAACAGTCAGAATCCTGCAATGTTTTTGAGAGTAATCAGAGCCTAATATCTTGAAACTGTATCAACTACTTCTTAAACCAAAAAGGCCCACCACTCACCTACTCTTTTCTAAACGTGACAGTAAATTTAAAAAAACTAAAACGCTCTCCTGGTCTTCCTGAGATGAATTTTGAGTTAGACACACCAAGAAAAATTTTCAGTGAATATTTCTAACTATTTAGGATTATGAAAAAATGGGCACACAAGCAACACAAGTCCACCAAAGCCCAAAGGTCATCCCCCTGTGTTATTCTCAAAGCCAGACTTAGGTGGCAAATTTTCTCTTCAGAGTACAGAGGGTATGCTAATTTACAAGAAAAGTAAAGCATCCTCAAAGTTTGGGGGGCAGGGGAGGCGAGGCCAGAGAAATAGTATGGAACTCAAAACACATTTTTTTAAAGGACATCGTATTAGAAAATCATGATTCCCGTGCCAACTTCCTCTCAAAATGTAGCTAAAATACTGTATATCAAAACTGCCCAATAGAACCATCCGTCATGATGGAAATAGTCTATCCCGCTATCCTGTGCTGTTCAATATGGTAGCCACTAGCCCACATGCGGCTATTAAGCACGTACAATGTGACTAGTACAACTGAAGAACTGAATTTTATGTTTTATTTACTTTTAATTCATTTAAATTTATACAGTCGTATGTGGACAGTACCTACAATGATGAACAGTGCAGCTATATATTTGACATTTGAAAAAGAAGAAATTCATAATACTGGCATTAAAAAAAAAGCAAACACTCATTCACCTCTGGTACTAGCACAGAAGTTTAATAAGCGGGAAAGACGATGGTATGTGGAGGATCTAAGACAAGTGTCCCCTCCTAACTCATGTTTCTCTTTCCCAGTTTCTCCATAAGCCTACAATTCTCCTTTCCCATGCTGTGTGCTTATGGCTGTCAGCCTTGACTAAGTTCAGTTTTTGATGCAGGAAGAAGGGAGAACAGTTGAGAAAAGGTAAGGAAAAAATGTCTTACAACTTGCGATTAAGGCAAGAGGATATACGTGAAAAGAAATGTAATTTGCTGAGACAGAATTTAACCGAGTTGGAAGAAATGGTTCCTGGACTTCGTTGGGTTAGACGGCACTGTCCTAACAGAGGGTGCCAACACAGAGGTGTCCAGCACAGCTCTCTCCAGCTTGCTGTCACAAGGAGGTAGAAGGCACAGCCTAAACCTCATTATAAATGAAACCCCAATGTGCTGAGTGTATAACTTGGAAGGTCCCTGTGTTTAGCAAAACTAACCAGTCAATCATATGCGAAAGCGGTGCATTTACCAGAGGCAAAGGATAGATTTAGAAAAGGAAAAGGGAATACCTACCTTTATTGCTAGTTTGATCCCATTCCCTTCAAGGTATTTATCAGCCAATGACTAATACACTCAACTTAAATCAATACTTTGAAAGAGAAAGGGAAAGAGGCGCAATGCTTCTTTCTTTATGGAGATTTTTGTTTTTAAACCAGGAACCATTCAAATGGCCAGAAACCCTTACAGTCCGATTCCCAAGAGGTACTTACCAAAATCTGAAGTTCTTTTTCCAAAGCCTCTTTCACTTGACTGACTTCACTCAAGTTTTCCTGAAGGTTATTAAGCGTTAGCTCTTTCCCCTGCAGCTCTCTGGTAACGCTACTAGCCTACCGTACAGAGTTACATGGTGCAGAAGCAAACCAACACAAGGAAACAAAAAAGAATGAATGAGAAACAAAAAATAAAACAAACATAAAACACATATGAGAAACAAAAACAACCAAATAAAACTGAAAGGAATAAAGGCATGGGTAAAAAAGACAAAACAAAACTGTTTTTTTTGTTGTTGTTGTTAATTCTAAGAAGCCGATGACTGCCCACAATCAGTTCTAGATAGTACGATCTAATGACTATTTAAAATAGTCAAAAAGAGTATTTTTCTACACCAAAATCTGGAATATCAGCATGATCCAAGGCAGAAAGTGGAGATGCTTACTTTCTAAATGGGTAAGTTAAGCAATTTCATTTTCTGGACTTTAAAGGCCATCAAGCAGGAAGAATGGAGACATGTGGCCTGTGTTATTTCCTCTATATTTGTATGTGCTTAAAGTAGTTCAACATTTAAAAAAAAATAAAAAATTTTAAAATGCACTGGACAACAGTAATCAGAAATTGGTTTTCATTAAGTCTTGATGTAAAAAGAGTTGATGAACCCTTAGCTACATATTCTCTCCTAATTAATTTTTGTGATTTGACTGGTATTTCGGATCCAAGTGAGGAGATTGAGAAAAACTTCCTGTAATTAGCTTGTCATCTTCAACTAAGGTTACTTAGCGGTTTTTCTGTCTGTCCTCACACTTCCCCCATCTAACCTTACAAACCTTTGCCAAAGCAGCTTCTCCCGTAAAAACCTCAGAACATTCCGCATCAGCACCCGCACCCCCACCAGTGGCAGGAGGACTGGGGCCATTCATTCCTCAAACAGTCCTTAAAGATGAAGATGACATTTGACAAGGCTAATTAGAAAGGGATGTAGCTGGCAAATGTTTCATGCAATTTCCTATGCCTTGACCAAAAGCATACTTCTCCATCTTTCCTCAAAAAGGCAAGGAATAGAACCCGTCCTCACTGCAGCATAGGAAAAGCTCTCCAATGGGACAGAAGCGGCGAAGCCAAGGGCTCCAGGCTCTTAACCTTATTCCGCTGCATTATTTATCACCGCGTGTTAATTTACAACAGTCACGTGGCACTCAGCATCCACAGTGCGTTTGTATACAAGCGTATGGATGGCACAATGATGTAAATGGAAAAGGAGGAGGAGATAATCATATAAGCTTCTTTCTTGTCTGTTCCTTCATTTACCTTAATACCATCATCTTAGCTGAGTTCTCTATTTTAAAAGATTACAGGGGCACATGGGTAGCTCAGTCGGCTGAGCATCCGAGTCTTGATTTCGGCTCAGATCCGTGATCTCCGGGTTGTGGGATAGAGCTCAGCGGGGAGGCTGCTTGAGATTCTCTCCCTCTCCCTCTGCCCCTTCTCCTGTGCATGCGCTCTCACACTCTCTCAAATAACTAAATCTTTAAAAAGAAATTACAGACTAGAACCAAGCTTTTTTCTTTTTTTAAAGATTTTATTTATTTATTTGCGAGAGAGAGAATGAGAGACAGAGAGCACGAGAGGGAGGAGGGTCAGAGGGAGAAGCAGACTCCCCGCTGAGCAGGGAGCCCGATGCGGGACTCGATCCCGGGACTCCAGGATCATGACTCGAGCCGAAGGCAGTCGCCCAACCAACTGAGCCACCCAGGCGCCCTAGAACCAAGCTTTAACAGGTCACAGAGCATGTCCCAGAGACAAAGTCATAAAGTACCCAGATACTAGGAAACCAAAATAAATTAGCCTAGTTGGGCCATTATTTTCTCTAATCTCCTCAAATGAAACCATGCTCAAGATACTCAGAGGACACTGTATACAACTGGGAAATCTACTAGCACCAGGCAATCTGCTGTAAGTAAATGGGGAATTTGGAAGATGAATGAGCTCCACTCAGAAGTGACACACAACGCAAAGTGAGACTGACAAAATAAAAGGATGGAAGACACCAATACAAACCTTGCCACTTTCAGTATTCTTTTCAATCTCTAAATTTTTAATCTGTTTCTCAGCTGCCTCAAGCTGCTGTCTAAGTTTCTCGATTTCCGATTTACCTTCGGAACTGGCTTTCCGAAGTGCATCGAGATCCAAGAGCTTTTCTTCAGTAGCCTTGAGCTGTGACGTAAAATTATCAATAACCTTGGTTTGCTCACTGCATTTGGCTTGTAGTACCTCTAGCTCCTTTACCTTTATTTCAGCTTCCTGCAGTTTGTTTAAGGTGTCCTCCATTTCTACTAGATGCTGGTCTTCCGCTTTGTCCAGTTTTGCCTTGACGGCTTCCAGGCTGCTCTCCTTTTCCGTAATGACTGCCATCAGCTTACCTCTCAGGGCTTCTATCTCTTTAGCGTGAGCAGACCTTTCAGAGTCTTGTTTGTTCTGCAGAGTTTCTATTTCGTGCTGGTAATCTAGTCTCATCTTCTCTATTTGTGTTTTTAACTCTGCAAACTCTGCCGTCTCTGTCCCGACCCCCTTGCTGAAGGACACCTTCAGCTCCTCCATTGCCTGCTGGTGGGATGCGATGGCCGTCTCCAGCTTGGACTTCCACAGGGCTATCACGTCGGAGTTCTCCTTGTTGGCATGATCAAGCTTGCTTTTCAATGACTCGTTCTCTTTGGAAAGCTTCTCTGTGGCAGCCTGAAGAGCCTTTATCTCCTTCTGATGTGTTTCTTCGCGGGCTCCCAACTGCTCCTTCAGAGAAGCGATTTCTCTCTGGTGGTCAGCATGGGCGGCTTCTAATTTTTCTTGCAAAGAGCTTATCTCGTGCAAAAAGGAGAGTGACATGTCAACATCCCCAGCAGGCTTATGGGACTCTAGCCTCCTCCGCAGCTCAGCTACCTCCTGTGCTCTCAACGCTAGGTCTTTTTCTAGTTCCATTATACGGGACTTTTCCGACACTGTAGCCACCTAGTAACCGCAGTCCAAAGAAAAACAAATCAGGTAAATAACCAATCACTGACGATTTTCTTTAACCTTGAAGATCTTTAATAACTCCCCCACCTCAGGCAGCCGTCAAGCTACTGCGAACGCCTGCAGGCTCACCCACCTCTAACTGCCATCATGGAGGAAGCCCAATTCTGAGAACTCCAAAGTCATCATCTTTGGCAAATTTCCACCATCCTGAGATGCTCCAGGAATCGAAAACTGAGATGGAATTTAACTTATTCCAGAATTATTTCTTTTTCCTCTAAAGAAACTTAGAGAAGTGCCCATCAACTGATAGTAAGTTAACAGAAAGAACAGCTTTCAAAGTTCTCAGGTATGTCCAGCTGAGGGAAGACAAAAGCCTCCTCATTTTACTTGGTTTTTCCCTCCTCTGCTTCACCCGGCATGTGTAAATGCTCACTCATCTAATGCAGGTGATTTTAAAGAACTGTGCTAGCTGGTATGATAATACACATGGTTACAGAGCACCAGAAATGGGACAGATGCTGCAAGGGTAACAGAGACAGATGCTGAAGACTTAGGGGGAAAAAAGAACATAAAACATCTTGTTAGTTTTTATACTGATTACATGATAAAATGGTATTATTCTGGATAAACCGGCTTAAATCAAATATATTATTAATTTTACCTGTTTCTTTTTATCTACTAAAAAAGTATGTTAATGTGGGTGGCACAGAATTTTCGATTATATATATGTGGTTGGTATTATACTTCTGTGGCCTATCACTGGTATAAAAGGTGTGAAGTTACCTATCAAACGTTTCAATGAATCAGCTGTAGAATAAAAGCTTTAGCTGGATAATGAAGAAATAATTTACTAACCTTTTTTTTAGAAAGACAAAATAAGAACAATTACTTACCTGCAATTATATATATGAATCTTTAGAGAGTCCCGCCTTTTAGATTTTATAATTCTACTGGCATTTTAACGTACATATCTTGTTACCCTAACCCAGTGGTTCTCAGACTTTATTATGCACATCAATCTCCTGGGATGTAGGTCTAAAAGGCAGGTTCCCACTTACTCCCACATGTTTTGATTCTATTTGAGCTCTGTGATAGCACCCAGGAATCTGCTTTTTTTAAACACCCCAGGACTAGGAAAAACACTTTCTTAACCTGTGTCCTTTTATTTTTAAGAAATGATTTCCCTCTGATACCTGTTAGCCAGTCAGTGTAGGACACAAAATATGTGGGAATCGGTCGCTTCAGGCATAAAAGTGAATTACTGGACTAACCTGGGAAAGAGAAGGGAATGTGAATGATTTAAAAACAAATTTCAAGGATCAAAACTCCTCCAGGTTAAAGGCTCCTCTCCCTCACTGCCTTTACTGGGACAGAAGGTGATGGATGTGTTTCCTTTGCTTCCTCTGTCCACCTACAGGCTGTGATATGGACAAACACTAACATGTCCACAAAAGGCTAGGAAAAGAAAGCAACTGGGTCTCTGAAACTGCAGGAGGAAGTCATTAAACTATTTCAGAGCCGACTGTAATTGGTGTGCTTCACGGTTAGAGATGCTCCAGGTTAAAGATGTTTATGTACTTTTTTCTGGGGCAGGGGGTGGGGTGTCCAAGAGTTTGTTGCCACAAAGTAAGGTACAAAACATTAATGAACCCCAATGCTACAAGGTCTGGAACATGAATAAATCCAATAGGACAAGAGTTCTTTATTAGTCAATGTCAAGTAAAAAATAGGTGAAAAAAAGAACAGCATGATTACACTGTAGCATTTCCATAGCTCTTCCGTTTTTTGTTTTACTTCCCAAAGTCTGCCCTTGAGCAAAGTTTTATGTCTGCCTCTCCCACCAGGGTGAGGCCATAAAAGTCAGGTATCATTTCTTATTCTTGCGACTTTCTCCACGGCAGCAAACACCCTGCTCATAAACTGGACGTACTGGCTCAGGGGAATTCTAAAGCACTTCCTAAAAGATAGGTAATAGGAAACTCAAGTGGCTCATTGGCTGGTTTCACACTTGGCCAAGCAAGAGTGAGGATCAAACAAAAGGCATGACTTCTTATAGAAAGAAAACAGCTTGAATCTGGAGTAGTTGGATAAACCAGCTGTAAATGATGCCTTCTTAACCACAGGGCGGGGAAAAAAAAGGCATCCATCCAAGTTGTTTGCTGACAAAGGTACATAAGAGGAGTTCAGAGGTTTAAAAAAAAAAAATGGAGATATATTTCCTTGCTTCAACAGCCATTCCCACTAAAGGAGCCCAATCTTATCATCAGTCCCTTATATTTCCCAGATCAAGTCTTTGGCTCACAGGTAACGAAGAAACATCACCAAACTACCAGGATTTTTTTCCACCAAATACACAGGAGATACCTTTACTTTTGAGGCCAACTGAGAACATTTTCTCCTTAAAAAATAAAAGCTTACAATTTAGAGAAGAAAAATTACTCAATTATCTAGATTTTTAGATCAGTCAATGATTTCTCAATAAAAGAAATTTCTACAAATACTAATAATTCAGAAGAAAAAAATCAGGATACCAAACGTGATCAGCGACAGAGTAATTTTTAAAATTTTACAGTTAAGGATCTGGGCAATTTAGCCACTGACAGTCAAATTTGTGATTTAAAAGGTATATATACATACATGTCCTCTTACATGTTAATGACTCGGATTATTTATTAAATTTTTCAGCACAAAACTACCTGTCTAACAGACAGACTCCATCCTATGGGGGTCAAGAGCACAGACTCTGGGGCCAAATGTTCTAGATCCAGATCCTGGCTCCACTATTACTATTAGCTGTGTAACCTTGGGCAAATTATTTAACCTCTCCATCCCTTAGCATCCTCATCTGTAAAATGGGGGCAATGCTACCACCTCCCTCGGGGTTGAGGTGAGATCAAAGAAGGTAATACTGGTGCAGTGGTCAGAACAGTGCCTGGCAACCAGTAAGCACCACACAGGTGCTTTAATACATAAATAAGTGGAAACGTGACTAAAGCATTAGCTCCAAGGGCTAAGGACAGTGAGCTGGGGTTGCAGGAAGCCGTTCCATTCTCAGCACTTTTCCCTCCTGACCGCTGAGATTTTCAGCTACTGGTGACAGAAAGGAGGGAAATGCAAAGACAGATCAGGTATCAAGAAAAAAAGGTCACTGGGATGAAAGTCCTTAACTCTCATTCAAAAGAGCCAGTGTTTCGATTTCCCCAACAAGTCAGGGAAGAAGTCAGGAAAAGAGAGGTAAAGTAAAACAACAATAAAAAAAATTCTTCAGAAAACCCTGTCACTGGGAATATGAGAACAAGAGGACAATTGACTGCTTGTGGCAAACTGGAGAAACGTACTTCGAGGTATGAATACAAAGAGCCTCAAATGTGGTTGTGGACGTCCATGCAGTCCATATACAGTTGCAGAGTTTCTGATCTTGATTTTGGTTGAGTTAACCAAAGGAATGATGAGTCTTTACCTTGGACGAAAGACGGGATATGAAATACCTGTACCTAGCCATCAGTCTACCCTCGTGAGCACCTGAACAGCACCAAGAGCAAACTCAGGTAGAACCACTGGGTCAAGGCTCAGGCCAACTGCAAGGCACGTCCCCCGAGGCGTCACCACTCCCATACACGGGTCTGCTTCATTTAAACAGTGAAAACCATTACCCTAGTGTCTTCTAACTCCCTCTGGAGTTTGTCAGCTTTGGTCTTTTCAAAGAGCAGGCTCTGTTCAAGCTCCTTAATGCGGGCATGCTCCAGTTTGGTCTGCGTCTGTTAGTAAAAAGGAAGAGGAAGAGAACACAACAGTGCCACCATGACATGCCAGCAAGAGGAGAGAGAGCGGCATGCAGGCTGAGCCACCACACCTTCCGCCAGAGGATGAACGAAAAGGGAAATGAAAAGGGCAGAGGATGGGCTGAGATGGGGAGGCTGGGGGTGCGGAGGAACACTATCGGATGAAAGGATGAGGTGGGCAGGGGACGCAAGCTAGTCTACTGAGAAAGACGAAAGTGGAAACACATGAGGCAGGGTGAGCAGTGTCAGACGCGTGCAGCCAAATATAAGTTATATTGATAAGTGAGGTTGATCAGCACAAATTAGAATCGTTAATATTCCTCTAAACTATCATTTTCCCGCTCCCCACAACAGCTATTTGACATTACTGTGTATGTAACTGACTCGGTGACTTTAACAAGTAAATTGACCCTCAAAATGACCACTGCTATCCTCTAAATATGGCAAACACAAGCTCATAAGTCTTACAAGTGTTCAGTAGGTCCCTAGGGCAGATCCCAGCGCTATGGCGTACAATTTGATGTGAACAAGCATGAAGCGTTAAGCCTAATGAAGGGAATCCAGACACTAGAGCTGAGAAAATCACACCAGTGGCCTTTGCTGAGATGAGTGAAAAGGGTCTGGCATTCTTAGCAACATTTCCCAGTTCCCTAGTTTCCTCCCAATAGTGGGTTTTCCAAAAACTATGTGTCACTAAGGGAAAAAAGGAGGGGATCATACTTACAAGGGGAAAATAAAGTAATAATTATGTTTGACAGCCTCCATCTCTGAGACTCAGATCAGGAGAGAAGTTGGGAGCTGGTGAAGGGCTCATCTTCTCCATCTTAGGATGACGTCGTTATCAGCTCAGGAGTGAGAAATGGGTGACTCAGCACAAAGGCCTGAGTTTGAACTCCATGCAAAAAGAGCTGGTAAGATCCTAACTGTTTCAAACCTTCAGAGACTCCCCATCATCACTTAACTTAGATGTAACGTGACGGAGAACCCAGAAGGAAATCTCTTTGTAACAGCACAGTCTTAATCAACGGGAAATAATCTACAGACCAGTTTGAACATACCTCTTTCCCCACCCACCTCCCCCACCCAAGAGGTTATCTGCAGACCCAAGTGACAAAACCTAGGGACAGCACTGCTCCCAGCAGCTTCTGGTCACTTACATTAATTTAAATATTTTGTGGTTCTAACTGGTCAGATCTGTGTCTGGACAATTATGGGCAATGCAAAAATGACAAAACCTCTAAATAAAGTAACAGAAGGTGTGCAGAACTTAAGTAGAGGGTGGATCATGTTACGTTATAAACATCTTTTACTGACTCCGATGGTCCTCTAGGGATTTCAACAAATAAAAGTGCTTGGTGTGCTTGTGAACCAGGTATAAACCATTGTGGAATATTTGAAAGGTGAACAACAAAAAAAAATTTTTTTTTTTAAATTTCCTCATCTGCTTCAGCTCTATACACTGCACAGAAATAATGAAATAAAATTCAAAACCTAACTGTCTGGACAGTCCCCTTGGTCCATATGTGCCTTAGACAGAAGTTGTTCAATTCATCTGCTTTTAGAAGAAAAGAATCTAACCCAGATCTACATAATTGGGGTCACAGCCTCAAGAACTGAAATCCAAAACTTAAGAGTAAAAAGCAAAAGGCAACAGAACCTTTCTTCACCTCCTGACACTGAGTTCAGTGTCCTCTGGGTGAAAGGTCACTCCTTCCAGACAAAAAGCAAACATCCACGAATGTGATCTTCTTCCTACTCCGCGATCTCCCAGATGACTGCAATACCTCCTTGCTGGCCAGTATGCATACCAACCATCTGGGACTTGACAGCTGTCTGAGCGATCAGCTTCCATGCCTCGGTGCGTGGTAAAAACGTTACACTGGACAGGACAACCCTCCTTTTAAAAGTACTCCTTTCTCACAATAAGACAGAGCATCCCAAGAGGGAAGTCCTGGGACAGGGACTGAGAGGGAAAGCAAAGGCTCTGCGAGAAGCGCACAAGAAAGGCAGGAGGGAGATCCCATGCAGACTGACACCGGATGCAGCGGGAGCCTGTTTTGGGAGGACAGAAGAGACCCAGATCACTGAAGTAGCTTCACAAAAAGGAAACCTTCAGAACGGAGGCTTTTTTAAAAGTTCGGCCTTAAGCTGTCTATTTCGGCTGCCAGGAGGTGGTAGGAAGAAAAATCTTTGTTTTAATTTTACTCTCTTACGGTGGTAAAACAAAGCCAAAAGTTGTGAGGTTCTTTCAGCGGGCCTCCCAGCCGGCCGGGTGCCAGAGGAAGTCCTGCTTCGGAGGCTCTTTAGGTGAGATCTGAGTTGGGTGTGTGATCTTCATCAGAGGGAGGAGGGAAAAGAAACACCTACATTGCTGGTAGCACGGCTACTAGAAAAATCTCACTTCGATAATAATAAATTTAAAGCACATGGCGTCTTCACTGAACAATGCCCGTTTCTAGTTTCACCAACTCGGGAAAATCCTGTAGCCACAACACGTGGACGCTTGAGCTTCTTGTCACCTGCACTGGCAGGCACTGGCCAGCAGGGGGAGCTCACAAAAAGGCAGTCTGGCCCTCAGAAGGCCCTTCTCTCTCGTGGGAACAAAATTAGACCACTTGGGTAAACTTTCCCGCAGAATTTCTCTAATTCCTTCATCTTATGTGTTTTAGGTTTCAGTTAGCTATCCTCTCTTTTAGAATGATTCTATTAATAGGAGAACACATTATGAGTTAAGTGAAGAAGGGCCAGGCCCCCAGACAAAATCCTTTTTTTTTTTTCTTTCTGGCGAAATTCTTTATAAAGCAAACATTTGCTTATGCATTAAATAAATGGATTCATATAGCTTAGTCATTACATACAATTTCTTCAGGATACAAATTTAACTGCTCTTAAAGCCACATGCACAGAAATATTAAGGTCAATGTCTCAGGTCAGATGATGCAGTTAGTATTTGAGTATATCAATAAGCATTTTAATCTGTCATCAATCTGTGTTAACAAGGGAAATCTCCACACAGTTAAGTGCCCTCTTACATTCTCAGGATCTTCAGAAATCTGGCTCTTTTGCTATCAGTAAAAAAATAAAAAAATTAAACAACAACAAAAGGAGAGATTCCACTAAAGTTCTGATTATGTGTTGAGGGTTTCAAAACAACTCTGATGAACTTCGAGTGAGTTTACCAGAGTCTATGCTGGCCTGGTGCTGATGGGAAGATCTCACTTGCCCCTCCCCAGCACACCCTCGGCTGTGTCTCACATGAATCAGATGAGGATATGAAACTTCTAATGAACTTCGGGGTGTTTTTAAATGGATGAGAACAACACGAAAGTCAACTAAAGGGATGTGACCGTATATGAAATGAGCAAAGAGGGTAACTACCGAATTATGAGTAATCCACTAAATTCTGGGCCTTATAAAACTCGAACTCGGAGAATGTCTTCCTTACTCCTTGTCAATAATAAAGACAATTTCCAAAGGAATCAGAGTTCCTATGTGGAAGGGCCCCTGGAATGGAATCATGGTGTGGGCCGCCAATAGGCTCTGAACTTGTAACGGCAGCAAAAATGTATATTCCAGGAACTGCACAGACAAGTGCAAGTTTTACTAAAATATTACAGAGTAAAGTACCAAAAATCTGCAAAATTTGAATAATTTCATAATTCGTATTTGTCATATATCTAGCAGTGGTTTAAAAATCATCAAAATCATGTAAATCTGGCATCGAATTAAAAAACTAATATGAATAATTGTTTAAAGATGAGAAACTTGATGCTGACGGAAATCTCTGTGAATGTAAAATACGCCACAGAAATTAAAGAAGCTGAAATAGAAATCGCTCTTGTTTTTTCTTCAGGTAATCACTTTAAAAAAATCAATTACTAGAATAAGTATTTATTCCTTTTACAGGGTTATAAAAAATCGATCCTGCTCAACCGAAAAGCAAAGCTGAGATAAAGTACAAAACTTTTTTGGGGACTACTTTGATGAAGTTAAAAATGCTCCTTACAATGCCATTTCTGATCATCAGAGGAACATCTAGAGTCTCACCTGGACACACTGCCAGATTTATGACTTAACTCCAATTCAAGGTTTTGAATTTTGAAGTGCAAGAAAAGAGTAGTAAAAATGTGACTGGGACACTGGAATCGGGACAGCAGAGTCCCAGGTCCAAGGACCCACTCAGGCACCTGACCCGTAGCTGCGCCCACAGCCCCGCCCAACCCGAGCCTGGGGCTCCCTCCATTCCCTCTGCTGGCTGTTCTGGCCAATGATCTCATCCATATTTGTGAATACTAGTACCCATAAAAGCCGTAGAGAGCTGGACGGGTTTTACCTCAAGATCGCCTTTTGTGATGGATTCTTCCTCAACCCGGAACTGAAGGTCCTCCACCTTCCTGTGGAATAAAATCAAAACAGAACACTTAAGTAACCAAGGAACACATCTGCCTTACCAAAAAAAAGGATCTATAATCAATACCCTGATGAATGTACACAGATGATGGTGGAGGAAAATAAAGAAATGCATTTTTAGGCATCTGGCTTAGAAAACAGAGCAAGAGCTCTATTCTATTTAGGAAACTTCAATGTTTTAGCCAGGTACTGATTCCAAGAGGCATGAGATAAGAGTTGAGAAAAACCACCTGGTTTTCCTTGGTCACAACCAACAGAATGAATCTAATGGAGACACGACCAGCCTAAAGGGAAAAGGTCTGATTACCACAGAAACAGGTTCTGAGACTTCAAGTCTATAATTTCTACTTTCCAATTACAGAACATAGGGGAAAGTGGCACAAAAAACCAATCTCTCTTTATACCACCCCACATCGGATATGTTAGGGTGAGGCTAAGGGGCTACCCACGCAGAAAGCCCCAGGAAAATACCAGTACCTGTCCTAAGCCTGGGAGAATAAGGTTATGAACAACTTGAGTCACTTTCTTTTTTTTCTTCACATTTTAAAAATCTCGGTGTGGGTTTCAATCAATGCTGTCACCAAGTCAATGAAACACGGTATCCTGAAGATTTACAAAATCCAGGTAACATCCATGTTATAAATCTTCACAAGTTTGAGTGTAAGGAAGAAAAGGGGACAAAGTTCATAACCTGTCTGCAAAAACAAAACTGTCAAACTCACTAGCATGTCTGGCACTTAAGAAAAATTCTACTCTGTGAAATCAGAAAAATAATCGTAAATAATTTACACCCCTCAAGCTCACTGGAGGGCTGGGAAGACATTTCTCCTGCCCAGCAGTCAGCAGACCAAGAGCTGGCTTAAGAGCCAAAGCAAATGGTACTGGTGCCTTGGCATTCAGAAGGGCCTAGAAAAGGCCTGTTGCTATCTCTCATTTATTTGTACCCATTTTTAAGATGCAAAGAGAATTTCCTATGTACAGTGTTTCTCTTTCTATTGAGAGAATCATTTCCTTGGCAAGAGAATGTACTCTATCTCCGCTATACCCCTTACCACAGCAGTGCACCCCTGACCATCCTGAGCTCACAGACCACTAAGCTGCTGCCATCAGAAAGGACAGAAGGAGGCATCAAATGCAAGAGAGGACAAATGTCCCACTACCCAGAAATGTTCCAATGGTTTCCATGCAGACACCTTTTTCAGAGATCGTGTGGGTTCACAGCCTCAAGAAACCTGTAAGAACCAAACTTGTTTTCTGTCTCATACAATTTAGCACTCGACTCCATCCTGATCTGGATAATGCTCTAACTGCTTCACATGGAAGTTTTGTTTTCCTAGTAAGGTACTGAGTTTCTCAAGGACAGCGACCTGGTATCACTGGTGAGTGATACAAGGTGCAGTTTTACTAGATACATGGAAGGTGTTTCACAAATACTAGATTAACTTGGACCCACAATGTCCTCTCACCAAAAATGGTTCCAGGTAGAAGCAGGGTTTGAATTAATCTCACGACCCTGAGGTCATCCTCAAGAGGATGCTTGGCACAGAGCAGGGGCTCAATAAATAGCTGTTAAATGAAGCAGGGTATGTCTAGATGATTCCAAACTTCTCAAAAAGAAGTCAAATCCAAGCAAACCCTCCTCATGTAGTATGAAGAGTTTCATTTCCACTGAACACACAGTCTAAGGGCTGGTACCTTAAAGAGAACATTTTCCTAAGGTTGTTTAAAAGGAAAAGGCCACACTTGCACCAAGGAACAGTTTGAGGTCACCTTTTCTCCTCTTCAAGCTGGTTGAGAAGCTCCACCTTCTCCCTGTCAGCAGCCTCCACCATTGTTCGCAGCTGGTCCATCTTGGCCTCCAATTCCAGGACATGCTGGGGAAGGCAAGGGTGCCAGTGAGTGGCCTCTCTCTGACCCAGACGCCGGCCCAGGGACGCCTCCAAAGAGCTACAGCTAAGTGGTACCACTGTGGCTTGGCATGACCCTAAAACCTTTTCGCACTGAAATGCTTTCTACGATCTTTAATAGGTCACTTCTCAGCCGCATTCCTGGAGACTAGATGATGAAAAACCATTAAAGCAACAGAGGGCAATGTTAAAACAACGCTCATCTTTTTTTGAAGCTGAAATGCATACAAAAGATAATCTACAAAACAGGAGTTGCCACCATGGGTAAGGTCCTAGTGAACAAGCTCCCCTGACAGGGGCCAAAAGACCCGGATGTAAAGACCGAAAGACTAAGGTCGACTCAAGAAGAACAAAACTTCATCTTTGTAATGATACAAAGTGGTACCCCAGGTCACAGCTTCAAACAAGCCCAGCAAAGACATTTCTGCTCATTTCCAGTGCTCCCAAGACTAGCTCCCCGGCTCCAAGCACCGGGTAAGCTGCTCCGCCTTCTCCCGCAACTTAGAAAGCACCACCAGCTCCACAGGGTCAGCTCAGAACCCATCACCATCTCTGAAACGAGGTCACACAAGACTTCACCTGGTCGTGTCCGTCCCGGGCCAGAGCTAGCTCCTGCTCTATCTCCCCCACGTGGCTCGTGGCCTTGGCCACCTCCGCCCTCTCTAGATCCCGTTCAGCCAGCAGCTGCTCAATGTGCTGCTGCTTCTCCTTCAGGGCCTCCTGGAGGGCAGTGGTGCCGGAGATCTTCCTGGCGTAACGGGAGGAGGTTTCAGTCAACTGCAAAGGAAAGTTAAAGACGTGAAGGGCCATGATGCTTTTGGGGATGCAAGGAGGGCGCGAGGCATGCAGGCAGGCATCTCCTCAGCAAAGCAAAGGTGCGGCCCCAGCTCCCAAGCTTGCCAGTTACTAGGAAAAGCTTCTCATCAAGGAAACAAGACAGCATGTGCCTCCCGACTGAGTATCACAAACAACACATCAATGTAAGAAGTTATGGAACAATCAGAAAGATGGTTAGAAGGAGAATAAGCGGCTCAAATGAAAGGTACCCTGAGCTCAGGTGACAGGGCCTTGCTGGAATCTAGAAAAATTCCACAGAACCCACATAACATGTTTCTCTAAACTCCATTTCCGTCCAAGCTTCATTAAGAGGTATCTCCTTCTTAGGACGTCTTGATCCCCATTTGATTTTTTTCAACTTTTTAAGCTTCTAACTACCATTAAGTAACCAAGAGGTCACTCTTGGAGTCACAAACCTTCCTTGTATCGATTAAACAGTTGGATTTTGTCAGGATTTTCTTCATCTTTCTTTCAAAGTGAAAGATACAGATAAAAAAAGAATGCAATTTTGCCATCTGCAACGACGTGGATGGAAGAGAGTGTATTATGCTAAGGGAAATAAGTCGGTCAAAGACAAATGCCATATGATTTCACTCATATGTGTAATTTAAGAAACAAAACAAATGAGCAAAGGGAGGAAAAGGAGAGAGATAAACCAAGAAACAGACTCTTTAGGGAACAACACACTGATGGTCACCAGAGGGGAGGGAGTGGGGGGATGGGGGTATGAGGTGATGGGGACTAAGGAGCACACCTGTCCTGGAAGTGTTCAATCTCTGTATTGTACACCTGACACTAATGTAACACTGCACATTATCTAACTGGAATTTAAATAAAAACCTTAAAAAACACGAAAGGCACAGGAGATCTCACCCAGGAATCCAGAACTTGAAGACTTGAATCCAATCACCAGAGAGATTTCTGAAGATCAGGTTAAGAGGGAAACTCTATCTGCCTTGAGAAGTTGGGGGGGGGGGTGCGGTGTGAGTGTGCACGCAGGTGTATGGGAAAGGCAGCGAGAGGACATGCAGGGAGGAAAAAGAGGGAAAGAGAAACTGGGACAAAGAGGAGGACGGGAGGGAAGAGAGGAGGAGAGGGGAAGTAAGACATGGGACAGAAAGGCGGTGGAGGGAGGGTGGAGAAAGGAAGCTGTCCGGGGTCCCCTGCTACTCTGTGCTGTTTCCCATACCCGTTCCTCCTTCTTGAATCCCATCATCCAATAAAAACACGGAGAAAATAACCTCCTATCATGGTAATGGATAATGTAAGCAAGTTGAACAGCATTCTTCCAAGTGAGGCTCCAGGGGTTGGGAGGGAATTCAGCAAAGGCCTCCCATCCCTTGGCATGCATTTGTCCAAGGTCATTGACATAGAGACCTGCTCGCTGGATCCGGATCGAGTGGGCCCTGACTTCATCTCCCGCAATCAAAGCCTCCTGTGCCCCCTGAATGCCCCCCATCAGTCAAAGCCCTCGTCCAGGAGGCAGAGTGAGCATCTGTCATCAAGTACTAGTTAGGCAATTTGAGGGATGCCCGGGTGGCTCAGTCGGTTGAGCATCCGACTCCTGGTTTCAGCTCAGGTCATGGTCTCAAGATCATGAGCCCCGTATCAGGCTCCTCGCTCAACGGGGAGTCTGCCTGAGATTCTCTCTCTCCCTCTGCCCTTCCTCTCTCCCCTCCCCCACTCTAAAATAAATCTTTTTTTAAAAAATAGGCAAGTTGACAACTATAAGAGTAAAGGAATCCAATCAAACCCAAATTGTCCTCTGCTGTTTCTATTTAGTGAAATTTCTTAAATTCCTTGAACTTAAGGGGGAAGGGGTGCTCTTTTAACCATCTGACCTTAACTTTCCAACTTCAGTCTATGGTTAAAATTATACTTTCTCATACTAACACTTCTTCCTGAATGCATTAAATCTGAGGTTCCCTGCGCAGAGATACCCCGGGGCCCTGCAGCAAAGTCACGGGGCACTGTGGAGTATTTTTAAATTTCAAGGGAAACACTGCAACACCTGTTGGACACCATACAAACTACCAGCTTGAGGCAACTGAGTCTGAGGCAACTGTACGACATTCCTTTCAATAATGTTGCATCTTCCCAAAGCTAGGTTTTGGCTGCTGCCATGACAAAAAGCCAGTATTGTGCAAAAAAATCAATGTGTCACAGGAAATGAGGGTGGCAGTGTTCAGGAAGATTCCAAGGTCTGACAAGGATGGGCAGTGCCCAACACGCACACACAACCTAATAGTAAGTGTGGGTATTTAAGAATGAACCAAAAATGTTTTTTCTCTCAGTTAATGTGCATCATTCTTTTCGAACAGCTACTAAATTGCTAGAACATAAATATTAAGTTGTTTGGACCTAGTTGCTTAACAAACAGAACCGCTAGCTATTTCCTTGGCTGAGGGGCACTATGATAAAATAACAGGCACTCAGGTGCTAGGCAATCAGAGTTTGGGCACCTCTGTGTCAGTACCCCCAGAGGACCATTTTGCATTAAAGAATCATTAGACATTTTCATACACATGCATGGGATTATGCTGTGGAGATATATTTCTAGGAAGTCACACCTTCTGTATTTTTGGCATATTCTTTTATGGTGATTTTTGGTTTAGAAACTACAGCCACCCTCATCTACAAAAACAAGCTGTTTTACAAGGTAAGGAAACTCTTTCTCTTTTGTCGCTCTTCTTCACTGAGTGAGGTGAGCTAAGATGAATCAGAACTGGTCTGAAAAGAGGAGAGATTGGGAAAGCAGGGGAGAGTTTAGTTATCTTCCAAAGAGATGGACACTTATAATTACAACATAATAAAAGTTAAGAAAGAATTCCTAATCTAGAAAAAACACCTCCATGGACTTGCTCCTGGATTAGCAAAGTAGACTAGATGTCCATATGAGTTTGCTGAACGAGGCTTTGTCCAAAGAGGAGTGGCTTCACTTCTGTGTCATTGTTCTTGTCAAACTTTTCTTCTCAAAGTCCATTTGTAACTTTTCTGTTGAAGATGGAGACTTTCTTTTCATACTCAAAATGAAAAAGTCCAAGCAGGTATTTATTTTACCAGAACTTAAGAGAAAGTCCAGCTGGCTAGGAGAGCAGTACTCCTCCCTCATCCTGCACTTGAAGGAAAGATTCCTCCCCTTCCCCTTCCCAGAGGACCCAAGGACCACGGAAGAGAAGGCAAAATGAGACCAATGGCCAGCAGTCTTACTCCGGATCACACCATTTAACATTCTCCCTCCTGTCTGTAGTTTACCGTCATAACGCAGAGACCCAGTGCAGTGCAGTCTTACAAATCTAAACAATATTTGCCTCACTTCAAGTAAATAAATTTACTGGCAGGAAATGAGCCAAGAAGTCATTGTTCTGACCCTATTAAAACGCCATATTAACAAACAGAATGAGCCGCCACTGCCTATTTTAATTCTGATGATTCTATTTTTACTGACCTAAATGGGAAAAAGGGGGAGAGAGGAAGTGGAAGGGAGAGGAGGAGATGAAGAGAGGAGACAAGACACGGCTTTTCCTAGCATGCTTTCAGGTTCCGCTAGTTCCCCTCCGTGTCCTCTGGCCCAAGTCAGGTACACTCCACATATTAACCGCTTCCAGTGGGTCAGACTCTATTAACATACTGCTGAATTCTAAGAACATGCCTTTTCTCGAAATACTTTAGTTCCTCAAATTGTTTGAAGTCAGAGAGACCGAGGTCATTGAGGAAAAGGATCCCTCCAACTTTCTTGTCATTCCTGTGCCCAAAATAATTTCAAAGAAAAGAAATCATCCCATATGTTAGACTCAACAGTAGTTACTACAGACTCAGCGAGAACTGGTACATCTTAGGGCCTTAAGAATCTGAAAGCAATGTTCAAAACTGTATTTCCCAATCTGTCTTCTTGCTAAAGCTCTGTTTTATGAAACCTAGAATGGGCCTCCACAATCTACAGGGAACATTTAGTACAAGGCAAGGTAATAGCTCCGAAAGCAAAGCAGGTTCAACAGCAGTGGGCATTTATAGAGCCTGGATGGTAGAGGCATGCGGTGAGAACAGGGAGGCTTACTAATCCTGTCCGGCTGGGCTTGCTGCTCACGGAGGAGGCCACTGAGCTCATGGAGCTGAGAGACGAGGCAGAAGGGCTGCGCTTCAGGCTGGCAGGCGTGGTCGCCATCACCCGCCTCACGGCCGCGGCCTTGGCTTTGGCTGGCGTAGTGGAAGGGAAGCCAATCTTGGTCACTTTGTGGACAGGAGCAAACAAGCCATATTTGGGTTGGCACTGAAAATACCTTTAGAGAATAACAATAAAAGCAGTGACCAAAAAATTAATTACAAGAAATAACAACTATAAACAAAAGCATCGTTTTTTGGTCATCACTCATGCCTGGTTTGCTGTGAATTCTACCAGTAAGCCAGGGCGGCCAACCAGCATAGAGCATTCACATGTATGTAGGCTGATAACCTCACTAATTAATGAGTAACAACATGATACACAGAGATAGAATTACCCATCTACGACTAAAGTGCTCCCAAGGTGCAAAGGAGTAAATATTCCTACTATCTGACAAACTTACAGCAGAGGGGTTCAGACGGTGATGTGTCAATGTGGGTTCATCAGCAGTAACAAACGCACCACCAGGGTGCAGGATGCTGATACTGGGAGATAGTGGGAGCCGGGGGCATATGGGAACCCTCTGTATCTTCCTCTCCATTTTGCTATGAAACTGAAGTTGCTCTAAAAAAAAAAGTCTTAAAAATAAATTGAATGCTTGTTCAGAATCTACTCAGACGCATTACATGTATTACTAAAAGAGACCATCAAAAAGAACAGCTCCAATTCTAGTGGGGGGGGGCGGAAATCAGTAGATGAGTCTTAGGAAATAGAAATGCAGCTCTTGGGGTGCCTGGGTGGCTCAGTCGGTTAAGTGCTGACTCCTGCTTTCCACTCAGGTCCTGATTTCAGGGTTGTGGGATCGAGCCCCGCCTCGGGCTGTGTGCTCAGCGCGGAGGCTGCTTAAGACTTTCTCTCCCTCCGCCTCTCTCTCTCTCTCTCAAATAAATAAATAAATCTTAAAAAAAAAATGCAGCTCTTGGTGAAATCTGCTTGAGCACCTTTACATGCAGGAAGGAGACAAGATTCCAACTCCAGACAAACCTGGTTCCAGCAACTGCCCCATCGTTCTTCCCAAGAGGCTCATCCAACTCCACACCACACCATTCCCCCTTGGCAAAGTCTGTCTCCCCAAGAAATCGGACTACACCGGCCTTGGTGCCACCAACCTGGAAAAAGAGAATGTAAAAATAAAAAGACGGACATAATTCCGTAGCTTAATCCTTTGCCGTTGCAACGGATAGTTAAGTACAAGACTCCACATTTCCCCCGACAGCTTCTTCTCTCTACCTTCTCTTCAGCTTTTAAAGAGTTTTCTCCGAAGACTGGTGAAGTTTACCAGGGTGACACATTACCAGAGTGATCTGATATGTCCCAGTAATGAAAAGCCTATGTACTATGGAGTCATTGGGCTGTCCACCCAATTAATCAGTCCCTTCCTTAGAAAATACTTTATTACCCCAGAGGGATTCTCCTGCTCCAAAATAAGTATCTGCTACAAAAATAAAACCCGTACATCCGCTGAAGGAAAACAAAATTTATCCATACTCCCTACACTGTAAAAGCTGCTCTGTTTTCTCATTCTTCCTTTACGTCTTCATCCACGGAAAACGACAATACACACATAGTAAGGACGGATATTCATGCAACCACACGTTTGCTTTTGGCCTTTCACATGTACGTTGCATGAAAATGTAAATTCGTTAAGATAATTCGACTCTATTGATATTTTCCATTGTGAGAGCGTTTCCTCAGACTGTTATGAAACTCTATTCTTCACATTTTATTTCACATGAACTCTTCAAAGCTGTCTTCTTTAATGTGTAACTCTTTGTCCCAGCCATTGTTTGATGTACTATGCAAACATTATTTCCAAAATTACCCACCAGCATTTATGAATTATTCCTTCCTTTGCCATTACTTTTCTATTCCAAATACTCATTTTGCCACAGTCTCCCAGGGCACACAAGAACGCACTGATGTGTGTGAGAATTTCTACAGGCTTGAAAGTTCAATATTTGTGCTGCCGCCGTGGCTTTACATTTACGGCCACTTCACAATCGGTGTCCCATCTGCGAAGGCTGGCGTCCCTTACTGCGCTTCAGACGACTCGTTTTCGTCCTTGCTTCTAAGCTTCTTTTTTCTTAACTGCTTCTTTAGAAATTGCCCCCCAACCCCCCACCCCCGTGACCAAGAGGAGTCACTGCAGGAACTTAAGAACATCATAAGCAGAAAATAAATGTTTTGCCTGTCTTCTCACCCGCCCAAGACAGCCCCTACTGTTCTGGGTCGCTCTCCCTGCCATGTTTCCGGGCGGGCTAGTGTTCCACCGCAGGGCTGTCCCACAATAGGCACGTCTCACCCTTTCCATTTGGGATGTTCACCGTTTTCTTACTGATTAAAAAAAAAAACCCAACAACAACCTCTTTATACATGATGAACTTAAATTAATTCTTGAATAGGGGCGCCTGGGTGGCTCAGTCGGTGAAGCATCTGCCTTCAGCTCAGGTCATGATCCTGGGGTCTAGGGATCAAGTCCCGCATCGGGCTCCCTGCTCAGCGGGGAGTCTGCTTCTCCCTCCCTCTTCCTCTGCCCCTCCCTGCCACTCATTCTCTCTCTCAAATAAAATCATTTTTAAAAAATTAATTCTTGAATAGCCAATGCATTCTCATGGTTCCAAAAATTTAAATACAAATATACATTGAGGGGCATCTGGGTGGAGCAGTCGGTTAAGCGTCTGACTCTTGGTTTGGGCTCAGGTCCTGATCTCAAGGTCTAGAGACCAAGCCCCACGCTGGCTCAGGTTCAGCCCAGAGTCTGCTTAAAAGACTCCCTCTCCCTCTGCCCCTTACCCCCCACCCTTCGCAACCTCACCCCTCGCCCTCCCATCCCCGTGCACGTACACACGCTCCCTCTCTCTCAAATAAATAAATCTCTTAAAATAAATAAATTAAATAAGTAAATAAGCAAGCAAACATCAAGAGAAACGTCTCCTTTACTGAAATCCTGTCCCACCTGCCCCACTCCCACCATGCAGGGAAGCACTGTTACTGATTGGCGATGCATCCTTCCTCCCAGCATTTCTACATGCAGATGAAAGCAAACGTTAATGTCTGTTCTTATTCCTCTCTTTTATTTTTACACAAAAGCCGGTGTTTCATATGCACTGTGTTGCACCTTGCAGAACACGGAGAACCTCCTTCTTTGTATCTGCAATTACTGTCATTCTACTATATGGATGCATTTCAGTTTATTCAATCAGTCCCAACTAATAGACACTTAAGTAGGTTTAATTAATTTATTTAACATTTAAAAATCATTTTGGCTAACTCTAAAACAAGACCAATGGGACAGTGTTAACATTACCTTAGGAAGGTAATTTATTGATCCTAAACCAGTTTTTAGTTTTTTCTCTTTTGTTTTTGATGTTCTCTATTTTCTTGAATTCACCTTTTTTCCTATTTCCTTTTTCCTACTTTCTTTTGGTTTATTTTTCTTTCCTTCCTAATTTCTTTTTAAATTTTTTATTTATTTTAAGTAAGCTCTAGGCACAACGTGGGGCCTGAACTCACAAGCGCAAGATCAAGAGTCACATGCTCGAGCAACTGAGTCAGCCGGGCACCCCTCCTTCCCAGTTTTTTTTTCTTTAAGATTTTATTTATTTTATTGATATATATATATATAGAGAGAGAGCATAAGCTGGGAGACAGAGGGAGAGGGAGAAGCAGGCTCCCCGCTGAGCAGGGAGCCCGATGCGGGACTTGATCCCAGGACCCTGGGATCATGACCTGAGCCGAAAGCAGACACTTAACTGACTGAGCCACTCAGGTGCCCCTCCTTCCTACTTTCTTAAGACCAATACTAAATTTTTGTCTTTTTTTTTTTTTTTAAGATTTTATTTATTTATTTGACAGAGAGAGACACGGCGAGAGAGGGAACACAAGCAGGGGGAGTGGGAGAGGGAGAAACAGGCTTCCCGCGGAGCAGGGAGCCGGATGCGGGGCTCGATCCCAGGACCCCAGGATCATGACCTGAGCCGAAGGGCAGATGCTTAACGACTGAGCCACCCAGGCGCCCTGTGTTGCTTTTTAATATGAAAGGCACTTGTTTCTAAATTTTCTATGAATACAGCTTTCTATGAATTTGGGATGACACATTTTTTTCCTTTAACCCTTTGTTGAAGATGGAAAAACGTTAAAACCTCAAGCCTATATTCTTCTTCTCTAAAAGGGAAACTTTTTGTGAAAGTGACTTAAGGAACCAGGGCAGATGGTTTAAGGCACTCCAGGCAGGAAGGGCATGTGAAGGGTGACACAGGGCAGACAGCGCCAGGACAGTACAGAAGCGCTCTGTCATGACAGCTGTCACCGAGGTGAGATGGAGTTGGAGAAAACTCCATGGCAGGCGCCCTGTTGTGTCCGGCACTGTGACCTCCATGCCCAGAACAGCACAGCAGACACTCAACAAACATTTGCTGGGTAAGTGAAAGGGGACTTTCTTCACTGGAACCTACACAGAAAAGGCCACTTTTTCCACATAAACCGACTAAAGGAGAAAGATCACCCACAGCTGAGGTTGAATTTGAGGTCTCAGAAGCAAGTAAAGGAAGAGACACTGACACAGAGCGTGGGCTCTAAAGTTGGACAAATTCAAATACCAGCTCTATTAATCAGTCAAGTTGCTTAATTTCTAAAGCTCAGTTTCCTCATAAGTAAAATGGTGATCATTTGGGGGCTGCTGTGAGGATAAAGTAAAGTTATCCACGTAAAACTGCTTAGAGCGGTGTCTGACAGCGTAAGCCAGCAGCCAGTTTGCCCACATTAACGGGAATACTAGTTCTAGATCTGGCACACGCGACTGTTCAATACTTTTTTTTTTTTTTAAGATTTTTTTTGTTTTTATTTGACATCGAGAGACACAGCGAGAGAGGGAACACAAGGAGGGGGAGTGGGAGAGGGAGAAGCAGGCTTCCCAGAGAGCAGGGAGCCCGATGCGGGGCTCGATCCCAGGACCCGAGCCGGAGCAGACGTTTAATGACTGAGCCACCCAGGCGCCTCTCGACTTTTTAATACTCTTACCGGTATTCATGGAATCTACAAACAGTCACCTATATTGTTTTCTCCACCCTCCCATACCACACCACTCGGAGCTGCGAGCTGCCGGCTACCCAGCATCACATGAACAGAACACAGGTCATTAAAGATAATGCGATCTCATCGGATAATCTGTTGAATTCTTTGGGCGTGAGTCTAAGCTACTGTCATGACAACTGTTTTTCTAAGAGGCGTCTAACAGGCTGTGGTCAGTAAATAATCCAAGCAAACCACAGGTTTCATTCAGAAGCTTTAAAAAAAAGTACCACAAACAGGCCGGCGCTCCTGTGGGCTCGGCATCAGCCTCTGTCTGTCTGCTGGTACACACTGCCGAGGTGTTCAACAAGAGCCCATGGAAGAATCATAAGAAGATGCGGCGATTAGGTCCTAAGGCAGGCATGGTATATTTTGATTTCCAAGAGCTACCCTGCTGGACTGTCAAGGAAGATATGCCCAGAATATAGCATATTTCAATGTGATGACTGAAGCCCACCACAAATATGATCACTCTGAGGCCACAGGATCCTCAAGCTGGGATTTCCAGAATTCTTTCAGAAGAGAGAAGCTGGAACAAAAATCCCCAGATTCTAGGACACTACAGAAAGATTCATCTGGAGTGAGACAGAGGATCCATGAGTGTCAGGAATGTGGAAAATCCCACAAGCAAAAAGGCAGTCTAACCTTGCATGACAGAATCCACATTGGCCAAAGGCCCTTTGAGTGTAACTACTGTGGAAACAGCTTCAGGGCCAAAGGCAATCTTGTTAAACATCAATGAATACTCACAGGAGAGAAGCCCCATCAATGCAAGGAGTATGGGAAAAACTTCAGTCAGTGAGGGAGTCTGGCCATTCATGAAAAACTCCACTCTGGACAGAAACCCTATGAGTGTGTTATTTGTCAGAGAAGCTTCAGGAATCAAAGTAACCTTGCTGTTCATAGAAAAGTTCACAGTGGTGAAAAGCCCTATAGATGTGATCGGTGTGGAAAAGCCTTCAGTCAGAAAGGAGGTTTCATTATTCACATCAGAGTCCATACCGGCTTGAAACATTATGCCTGTACACAGTGCAGGAAG